CCCCCTCCACCCCACCAGCAGGTCACGCCTGCTCCCCCACCCCACCAGCAGGTCACGCCTGCCCCCTATCTGCTAGCATACCCCCAATTCCCTCCAACCTGCTGAACCCCCAACCCCGCACCACTAGACCCTCATCCTGATTTACCTGATATCGGGCAGCCATTTTGATTTGATTTAGCCTCCCCTTAACACCCCCAAATGGCTGTACTTAGCTCATAGGATCAAGCTACAAGTGTCAAAGAAGTCAATCTTAAAAGACCTTTCTAAGCCAAATAAACCATTCACACTACTGTAGCTAAGGCATGCCAGTTTCCAGGGCCACTGGCCCCCAAGACAGCAAAATGGCTATTACATTCACACACAGTTGCCTTTGACTTCCCAGCCTGCATGACCAGGTATGAGAGCAGTCTTCACCAGAAAACTTGACAATCGCATGGCCCTGGAGCTGTTGCAAGGCACCTTAAACACTCTGCCACCATACCCCAACACAAGAAAAGCATATTTTTATGTACAATCCTACACAGAGGTTATTAACAAAAATAAAAAAAATCTGGACAGCAAAGCAGCATATCACAAGAGCAACTGAGATGCTGAAATGATCCTCACACAAGAGGAATGCCTCCTCAAATAAGGTGCTTGCCCCATCCTTAAAGAAGGTAAAGTAGCATACACTCCTGCCAAGCACAGCCAATCTCACTGGCTGCTGTGGACAGGACTGAGGCTATCACCCACTTTCTTTTCACCCCTGTGCTTGAAAGTGAGGTCTAGTGTCAGCAGCAGCACCAGACCTTACTTTCCTGCTACACAAAGGGAAATACAAGAGAGATAACTGCCTCTGGCTTCTGGGCAGGAAGCGAAGAGGGGACACGTGAGAAGAGAAACTTCTCCCATTTCGTTATGCACTTGTTCAGGTTTCAAACGTATCAGCCTCTAAGAGCCACTGAAACATGGCACTTTTCGAGCAACTGCCAATCCAACTATCGAAATCAAAAAATGGATGATTCCATCCTAAGCTCTGGTGATGCACAGAAACTGCACAGGAGTCACAAGAGACTAGAAAATCCCTTTAGCCCAAGAGCTGCAAAGCGCCCACCCTTGCAGCCTTAAGCAAATCTTCCTGATCCCTGGTACAAGACATGCATGGGGCAGGTGGAAAGCCCAAGGACAAACCCACATTACTGAGTGCAATGGAGAAATCTGAATGCTGTGGGGCTATTCTAACTTAAGCCAAGACCTGACTGGCTCTGCACCAGAGGATGCAAAGGAGGCATATATAAAGCTACCACTTCTCTCTGGAATGCAGCTTCCAAAAGGCAAAGCCCAGAATTTGTCCCCAGGTACTTACCTCAATTTTTGAATTGCAAAATAATTGAAAAAATACTTTTGAAAGAAGGGATGTGGCATGTAATAAATGGTTACGCCAACCTATCTCAAGGAACCAGAACTACTTCTGCAAGCATGACTTAACAGGATTTCTGTA